TGTCTGGAAAATAAAATGGGAATGGTGATGGGTTTTTTCATGCAGAAATATATCCTTCTGAAGATATTGGGGTTTCTGAGTGTGCTGGGAGCACTGGCTTGCAGTCATTTGAGGGAATACTGCAAAACCAGTCGTGAATATTTGCTTTTCCACTCCTTGTGAAAGGGAAACATTGACACCATGCCAATAAAATGCATTTCCTGGGGACATCAGGCAGGGGAGAGCAGGTGGATGGGGATGTGGGAGAGCCACATGATCATGATCAGGGATGTATCTGAGAGGTGCTGCCTTGAGCTCCCTCAGGAGCTGAAGGCTGGAGGGCCCATGGAGCTCACTGGGTCAGTGTCTGAAGGGTTTGCAAGGATAGCTCTTGACTGCACTATTTGCATGTGAACTGGGAAGTGACTTCTTATATTTATGGATAGTGCAATTTCAGGGTGTAAATCACAGGCAAAAAGAAAAAAAAAAGAGCCACATTTGATAAGCAAACAGATCGCTGAATATTTTTCCCAGCTGAAAGGTTTTGGACTCAGTGATTCTTGTGAGTTCTTTCCGGTTTCTGTTATTCTGTATTTTGTGTTGTTGGCAAAACCAGAAAATCTCAGGTAGTTCCTATTTCAGCTTTATGATGAACGATCCCAATAATTACATCTGACAGTCAAAAAATCGATGGAGACCCCTGTAAGTCGCTGATGACCAAGGCTGTCTGTCTGAGCCCAGAGTGGCCAGCCCAGCTGCCCGGACTCGGCTCTGGAGCCTGTCTGGGCAGGAGCTGCAGCCCAGCAGGGCCACGGTGCCCTGAGCCACAGCTGCAGGGAGCCACCACCGCTGGTCCCCAGCACAGGGTGCCCTGCAGGGATGAACGGCCTGAAATTCACTTTCTGGGAATTACAGACCAGAGCTTCAGGAAATGCTGAAGTGCTCAGAAATCATGGGACTGGCTAAAAATGGTGCCTTTACTTTTTAATGTGAGGGGGAAAGGCTGCTGCTCTACTTCCTCTTACTACAATTAATTCTTTTCTTCTGCAGAACTTTATTAATAATGAATATTTTTATGCAAAAGAAAGAAAAGGCAGGAATATTCTTGGGGCATATCCCGGTATCAGGTTCTATTGTGTAAATTGCCAAATCATCCTGAGATTTGCATTAAAAACCAGAGGTTTAGCTATCCTAAGTGCATTGTACTGTAAATGTTGTTTGTGTGCAGCTCAGTGAGGCAGCAGCCACAGGAAACCTTCGGAGTGGGGTGTTCGGGGAGCATCCCAGGGAGGGAAGCTCTGCAGGGATGCTCCTCCTGCAGCAGGGAGGCTCCGGGCAGCCTGGCTCGCTGCTCCTCGCTGATCCCTGATCTCGGCATCCCGGGCGAGAGCCAGGGGCAGGAGAGAGCCTCCTGTCCCTGTCCCTGTCCCTGTCCCTGTCCCTCTCCCTGTCCCTGTCCCTGTCCCTCTCCCTGTCCCTCTCCCTCTCGCTCTCCTCTCCCTCTCTGATCTCAGGCGGATTTCCCCGCACTATTTTGAGCTGCGGTGAGGATAACCCAGGGATGTGGATTCTAAAGCGGCTCCCCGTGCAGCTTTCCTCCAGGGGCAGAAGGGAAGAGCAGAAGGAGGAGAACAAGGCAGACTCCAGCAGCGTTCCCAAACCTTCTGCTCGCACGGAGAGGTCCAGGCTCCCGGGGCAGGAGCGCTGCCCAAGGGGGAATTCTCCTCCCGGGGCAGGAACACTTCCGAAGGGTGAATTCTCCTCCCGGGGCAGGAACACTTCCGAAGGGTGAATTCTCCTCCCGGGGCAGAGCGCTGCCCAAGGGGGAATTCTGCTGCTGCCATCGCCGTTTCTGGGGAAAGCAGCGCGGTGCCCGGAGCGGCTCCCTCTGACCCGGAGCGGCTCTCGCTCTTTCTCTCTTTCTCTTTCCTTCTCTCTTTCTCCCTCCCTCTCTCCCTCCGGGCATCTCTCCGGGCCATGGTTAATCCCAGTGCCCGTCTGCAGTGAAACCTTCCCCCTTTGCTCCATTCCCCTCCTCCAAGCTCTCCTTTCTGCAGGAATCCCTCCAGGTTTGACACTCTCAGGGTCTTTGTTCCGCAGCCCAGGGCGAGCCGTTCCTGTGGGTCTGGGCTCTCCCAAGAGCAGAGGGAAAACAGGGCTGTGTGCTGAGCACCTGGTCCCCTGTCCACCCCTGGGCTTTGTCTCGGGAAGATCCAGCAGCTGCAGCCAGCGGCGTGCGAGCTGCTGTGGGGCTGCAGGAGAGCCCAGGGCAGGGATTTGAGCCTTTCCAGGCTCCAGGGCAGGGATTTGAGCCTTTCCAGGCTCCAGGGCAGGGATTTGAGCCCTCCCAGCTCCAGGGCAGGGATTTGAGCCTTTCCAGGCTCCAGGGCAGGGATTTGAGCCCTCCCAGCTCCAGGGCACAGCCAGGCTGCAGGAGAGCCCAGCAGCCACAGGAGCCCAGGGCAGAGCCCACGCTGAGCTCACCAGCCTCCTTGGCTTGCTTTAGGCTCTCATTTGCCAGCTCCCAGCCTGTAAATGAGAGACCTGAGAATGGATATGGAAACTTTCCCTTGCCAAATTCCAAGAGTATTTATATAATTTAATCGATAAATTGCATTGATTTATTTGCACTAAGTAACTCCTTGAGGTCTGGATAATAGATAAAGGTGTGCATGGTGCTGTACAAACACATAATAAATAAATGCAGCTTGCAAATCAATTGCAAGATATTAATGATTAATCTTCTCATAGTAAAATAATGTGATGTCTTTCCATTATAGATTTTTTAAAAAAATCTGACCTAAGAAGTTTCAGAGTCATTTATTTGAGGAAGGCTGCCCTTTAAGCCAGATCTTACACTTTCCAAAAGGTCACAGGGTTTAAATATCATGGTTCCTTACAAAGCAGCACACCCTGAGAGCTTTGACAGCACCTTCATGGTCCTGCTCGAATGAGAGCTCGGCCGCTGAGGCCAGGGCTGGCTTCTTGCAGGGAATTTCACTCTCCCACCCTCTGCTGCTGCAGAATGCACAAGGAGCTGTAAGGGCTGCCCCAAGGCCTGGTGCATTAACACAGGTGAGGAGCAGCACATTTCCCCCCTCACCGCCCTGGCTGGGCCATTTTCTGGCAGCAGTGAGAGGGCTGGGAGCACAACAAGGTGGTGTTTTACTGCACTGCGCTTCGTGCTGGCCTCCTGCAGGCAGGGGACAAATCTCTGGCCAGAGCAGGGTCTAATTCCAGGTGTGCTGAGCCCAATGAATCTCCTGGTGAGGCAGATGAGCCAGAGCAGATCAGATCCATTGCCCAGCCTCGGGCTCCAAGCTGTGCACAGCTGAGCTGCCTCCCCATCCCCTTCACCCCCTGTATATTATATGCATTATTAGATAGCAAGAAGGAAATGCTTATTCTACGATTATTTGTTCTAATTAATTTATTTCTTCATCAGCTTTTCAAAAGAGACAGATTTCCCTGTTTCTCTTCCTCATTGCCTTTTGGCATGTGCAGAGCAGCAAGGCAGAGCCACGTTGTCAGGATGTCTCCCTGTAACCTGCAGCTCCAGTGCTCCCCACGGATTCAGACTGGATTTTTAAAACAAACAAGGGCTTTAAATGTAATTCATGTGCAATTGTCTTTCATGCCTAAAATGTTTTGCCTTTCCTTTTTCATGCTCTCTCTTTTTCATGCACTTTTAGGCACACATCACTTTGTTTAATAGCACAGCGTTTGCTTTTGGAAGGGGCAGAGGATACTGGAGCTGTTTGGATCAGGAGGTTTTCGTTCCAGGAGAACTTGTGGGGCAGGAGAACACGTTTGCTGCTGAGCTCTGGTTCTGCTGGGAGGCTCCCTGCTGGGCACAGGGGAGGTGTTTGGCAGAGCTGGCACCCACTGCTGCTGTGAACCACCACAGATTCCGAGCACAGCTCCGTGGTTTCCTCCTGGACTGGCAGCAGCTGCGTGGCTTTAGCCCAAGGCTTGGCCAGGAAGTGAAGCAGTGCCAGGCACTGCTGCCCAGCCTCTGGCTGTGTGCTGCAGGCTCCGTGTGCCCGGGCTCGTGGCCGTGGCTGACCTCCTGTGCCACGCTGATGCTCTGCAGGAGCCTGGGAGGAGACAGCCTGGCTCTGGGCACTCAGACAGCCCTGCTGCTTCAGTTCTGGTGGCTGGGATTTCTGTTGGCATTTCATGAGGGCTCCTGCTGCTAAAGCAATGCCTAGATCTGTAGGCAGCCCAGCTTTCAGTAACTTTTCCACTTTTAAGGCATCATTAATGCCATCCCACTCCATGGCTATTCCCAGGCCTACGGTCTCTTACCAGCACTTTCTTGTACATATATTTTAATTTCCTTTAACCCTTCTGGTGATTAACCTTTTCCCCAGCTCCTGTCTCCTCTTGCCTGGAAGCTCCATCCAGCTCTGTAATCTTTTCAGCTGCTTAAACCCTTCTGCATTTCCATGGCAGCCTTCAAAGACTTGAGATCTTTGTGCAGCTTAGCAGCTGCCTCCTCTCCCTCTTGTTGTGGCCAAGGGGCTGGAGTCTGGTCTCCTCTTTGATGCCATTTCTGAGCAATTCTCCACCCTGATCATTCTCCTCCTGCTCACAGAGGGGTCAGGCGGTGCCCAGGGGAGTGTTTGGCTCTTGGAAGTGCTTGCATGAACAGGGCTGGCAGGGTTTTCATCTCCTCAGCAGTGGAGTTGCCAGTTTTCTGCCTTGCCAGGGGATTGCTGTGTGCTCTAAGCCTGCTGCACAGCTCGAGGTGCTCCTGGAGCTCCTGGTGCTGGCCTGTCCTCAGCAGCTCCCTCCAGCTGATTGCCAGGGACCTTTCACACGACAAACACCAACGGCTGGACACAGCTCTATCTGTCTGTCTGTCTGTCTATCTATCTCTCCATCTCTCCATCCACCCACCCCCCCCCACAATCTGTGCATGTATTTGTGTGTCCCTGGCTTCTGTGCACGTTTGTGTGTGTGTCTGTGTGTGTATTTAATAGATTTCCGTGTGCTTAACGCATTTTCCTCCTCAGCAGAACTGAAAGCCTGGGAGGGCTGGCTGGAAGAATCCTGCCTTTGCTGATCTCCAGCAGCCAGGGTGGCTCTGCTGGATCCTCCGGGGGATGTGCTCTGCACGGGGGCAGGAGTGGGACTGGCACTGCAGGGCTGGGCTGCTGGCATCACCCAGCCAGAAGAGGAACGAGCTGCCAAGGGCAGCACCTGCAGTCCTGACTGCTCTGGGATTTCCTTGGCTCTTTGCTGTATGCAACGGTGAGATCTGCTGATTGAAACTCCCTAGAGAAATCTCATTATGTTATGTAATGCAAAACCTTTGGGGTTAATGTAAAATAATTTCACCAGCTCTGTGGCAGAGCTCTGTGGCAGGTGGGGTCTCAAGTGTTGCCCCTACTTCCAAATGCAGTAATTGTTCTTTTAAATTAAGAAAGTAAAAAAAACCCACACCTTTAAACAACAACTGAAGTTCTGCTTTTGTTTAACAAGAAAAGGAGTTTAATTTTTAAAGATCACTCCATATTATTAACTTGCATAATTATCAGAAGGGATGGTTGGATGAGCAGACAATTAAAACAAGGAGAAGCTCAGAAGGAAAAGTTCACTATATTAGAGAGATAATGGGGGAAAGTAAAACTATTTCAAGTACCATTTGAAGGAAAGCGTTTGGGAAGAAAGTAGGATTAATTAAGTTTTGAAGCAATTGATTTTGCTATCTAAAACCATTTCCTAGATTAACAGTGTTGCATCCTTATGCAGGAGGTGATGTCTGGGTTCCTGAGGAGCAGGTGAGGTGCTGGTGGAGATAAAGACTCCTGGAGCAGCAGGAGCTCCGGGCTGAGCAGGGCTGGGGGTGTCAGGCTGGGCTGGGCTGGGCTGGGCTGTGAGGTTTGGGCAGCTGCTTGCAGCTCTAAACAAAGCTGTTTGCAGCTCTATGCACAGCTGTTTGCAGCTTTAAACCCAGCTGTTTGCAGCTCTAAACCCAGCTGTTTGCAGCCTTAAACACAGCTGCTTGCAGCTCTAAACACAGCTGTTTGCAGCTGTATAAACAGCTGCTTGCAGCTGTATACACAGCTGCTTGCAGCTTTAAACACAGCTGTTTGCAGCTGTATACACAGCTGTTTGCAGCCTTAAACACAGCTGCTTGCAGCTTTAAACACAGCTGTTTGCAGCTGTAAACACAGCTGTTTGCAGCTGTATGCACAGCTGTTTGCAGTTTTAAGCCCTGCCCTCTGCCAGGAGACAGCTCAGAGGAGCAGTGGCAGCACGCAGGGCTGAGAAACCCCTGGCACATCACAGCATTCATCCTGCCCCCCAGATGCTGAATTTAGGTGAGACATGCCAAACACTACTGGGGAAAAAAATTAGGCCTACAAGTACTAGAAAGTAATTTTCCATACGTGGTATTTGACTCTTAAATTTCAAATCATGAATAATGATCTTTGAAGGGAACCCTGTAAGTTGTCTTCTAATTCCTGATGAAATAGAATAATTTATGGCATCAATTTCTCTGATTAATGTAAAATGTGTTTCAAATTTGGGTTTTCCTTTAATATTTAAACTTTCCCTTGAGAGGAACTGCAGAAGGTGACTGAGTGCCCCCCAAACTGATGTGGTGTGTCCTCAAAGCAGGGTGAGATCTGCTACTGGAGCTGGTCAGCAATAAAACCACTGTACAGCAGCAGCCCCAGCTTATTTCAGGACCTGCTCTCCAAAAGGCATGAACCAGGCTCTGCTCACTCATGCCTGGGGAGAGAGTGTCTTAAAACCTTACTCTGTGAGTTGGAAATTTTTTGTTGTCAAGGACATGTCCGCAAAAATTGATGAAAAAAGCCAAAGTTGGAGTTAACTCAGGATAAATTGCATGGCAGGTCTTCTCCCTAAGAAATTAATTTATTTAAAATAGGTTTTCTACTGTACTTATATGTCATTTTTCAGAGCCAAAGTCAGACAAAACCATGGTGGTTTTAGTCTTGGTCTCACATCACGGAGGAAGCTGAGCTGCAGCATTTAGAGCAGCCATTCTCCGAGCTGGTCAAACACATCACACCTTGTGTCCTTCATCCAGCAGCTGAGGCTACAGAAAACTGAAACCCCGTCTTTGCTGCTCTTGGGCTGACCACTGGAGCTGCCCCTCTGTAGCTCAGGTGACAGGAAAGGAGAGTTTTGATCCAGGAAGGTCTCTGCCCCGGGGAACGCTGGCCATGCTGAGGTTGTGCTGCTGGAGCAGCCACCCTGACAAATCTGCAGAGCTAAAAAGCAGATCCCAGACAGCAGCGTTGGTTTCAGAGAGAATTGTTTATTAGGAAACAGGAGGTTGTTGCATACAGATTCTGTCCTGCAAAAGTGTCCTGGTCACTTCTGGATGTGGCAGGGAGACACGAGGCCAGGAGCTGGCCCCGCTCCCCACACAGAGACACTCAGACACAGCAGAGCTCTGCCAGGCTGGCTGCAGCAGGGACAGCACCCTGAGCTGGCCACAGCTGCACCCACGGGAGAGCCTGGGACAGCAGGGCTCACCAGACAGCTGCCAGACAGGGCAGAGCCCCTGCCTTCGTGCCAGCCGCGGGCTGGGCAGGAGCTGCCCAGACAAACCCTGCTGAGGTAGCACGAGGAACATCAAACTGAGCAGGGGAAGGAGGAACAGACGTCCCTGTGATCCAGAGAGGAGCAATTCCCACTCTAGCTCACCCCCACAGCAGGCAGCAGGGCTGGGGCCCTGCAGAGACCTGTGAGGACTGAGCTGTGCCCTGCAGGGACCTGTGAGCTGTGCCAGGGGCTCTCAAGGCACTCACTGTGCTCCCCCAGTGCTCCTGCTGCAGGGCTGCCCTGCTCCCTGGGCTGGAGGTGGCCTCTGCCCAGCCCCGAGGCGCCGTGGGGCTCTGCCAGGGGATGCCCAGGTGTGCCAGAAGCTGCTGGAGGGGGTGGCACCTCCTGGGCAGCACCGCTGGAGGGGCAGCTGGAAGGCATGCCCACCCTGGCAATGCCAGCAGGGCCTGCCCCTGCTCTGCAGGTGCCCAGCGCTCACAGGAGTGAGGGCTGGCAGCCACAGCAGCCCCTGGGCTTTTCCTGACTCCAGGGTGCCTCTTCCCGACTCTGCCCTGCCCTGTGGCACAGCAGAGCAGCTTTACCAGTGCCTCTGAGCTTTGGGAGACAAGCATCAAATGGACATTTTCCTAACATTTAGCAGGTTTCTTAAAAGAAGGCATTATCCAGGAGAAAAGCTGTGTAACTTTCTAATTTATGGGTGCTGAAAAAAATATTCTGGAGTCTGATTCCTCAGTCTGGTCCTCTGATGAAGCCACTTTCTTGTCTTAACTTTGCTGGCTGGGGAGGATATTCCCTTCACTCCCTGTCTGTAAAGTCGCAAATAACTTTCCTTATTAAATCCTAATTATGGCTCCAGAGACTACATGTAAAACCCCACTTTTAGAGTACATAACCGTTTGTCTACCATCAGCACTCTAGCAGGATTATTACCCTTTCAGGCCTCAGTAACCTGAAGGAGAAAATATTGTTGGACCAGGTTTGTCAGAAATGCAACGTAATTGTCAGAACCGTGTGCTTCTGGCTCTTCTATCCCCACACCTCTGCCCATCTCCACCCAGGAGCAGCCAGTGCCAGCCCGGAGTGTCAGAGAGCTCTGGGACAGATCTGGCAGTGAATGCTCACAGCTGACAGCAGCACCAACATGAAGATGGGTCAGGCTGCAAGCTCGGGAAGGGCATTTGTGAGGCAGGAGTTTCCCTGCTGCTGCAGGCGAGCTGCAGGGCTGGGGATGCAGAGTGACAGGAGCACCGGAGCCATAAAGCAGAGCAGCAGAGCTCCAGTTATCTCTAGGGTACCAAACACAGCACTCAACTAGCTGGGTTACAAATATGCCTATTTTAAAATCAGCCTTTATGTTCCTAAGGCACTCAGACTCCTTTTTTGGAACATGTACCCAAATGGGTTTGATGTTTGGGGATGGGAGGGTTCCGAGAAATATTCCCCAAGGACATCCCACATTGAGTTGAAGGGAAGAGATGATCCAGACCCACGGAGTTATCAAAAGCTCTGGAGCAATTGTGACCACATCTGCAGTTTTTTAAGGATTTCTGCAGCACTGGGTGTGCTCCCACTCCCTTCACCCTATGGAAAGGGGCGAGCTGGGGAAACCTGGGCCCCCTAAGAGCAGGCCAGAGCTCTTCACTTGCTATTTGCCATGAAACAACACAGCTGTAGGTTTGAGCTGAAACAATCTCCTCCTTCCCTTCTCTCTCAGCCTTGACCTTAAAGCTGGTTTAATTCCAGCTCAGTCAGGTAGCAGGAACACAGAGCACACAACAGAATATCTCATTTTCATTTCAGCCTAACATTTAGGGGTAGATTTTTGACTGCATTTCCATCATTGTCTTCCAGAACTGGCTCTTCAGCCACCTAGGATGAAAACCTGTCCCTGCTAGGAGTTCTTGGAACACCTGAACGAGTGAAGCTCACCTGCCAGAGCTGTCTGGATGCTGCAGATGAGCAAAGTTTTCCTGGGAAGTTCTCCCCCAGAGAAAAAAGGCAGGAGAGAGGGATGCTCTCCCTCCAGAGCAAAGGTATGGGAGCCTTTTTCTGGGAGGCCAGACGAAGCTGGCTGTTAAATGCACCTGCAGTGATGGCCAGCAAATGCTGAGCCTCCCCCAGGAGTGCTGAGACCCCCAGGAGTGCTGAGACCCCATCCAGCAGAGCAGGAGCTGCCCGGGGCTCAGCGGGGCAGCCCAGGGGCCAGCAGCACAGCACAGCAGAGCAGGGCACAGCACAGCATGGCACAGCATGGCACAGCACAGCATGGCACAGCATGGCACAGCATGGCACAGCACAGCATGGCACAGCATGGCACAGCATGGCATGTCACAGCAGGGCACAGCAGGGCACAGGGCACGGCATGGCACAGCACAGGGCACAGGGCACGGCACAGGGTCACTCCCAAGGACAGCAGAGCGTGGCTGTGTCTGAGTTTCTCAGCTGGGCACACAGCACCAGCTCTGACAGTGCCCAAAAGCAAAGGAGGGTTGAATTTCTGTATGTATGGCGTTACAGGGAATGACCGTCACACAGAAAGATTTTGAACATTAATTACAATTGATTTGGAACATTAGTATCTTTTGTAACTTCATAGTTTAATTGCCAACCCTCTTCCCTTCAGATTAACCATGGATGTACAGCATACAATCAAACAAGCTTTTTTAAAAAGTACATCTTAATATAAATAGTTTATTCAGTGCATGGTTGTGTATACAACAAATAATAAACAACTTTTTTTGTAGCAGGCAGAAAGCTGCCTGTACAGACCTAATTCAGTTTTGGAGCACAGAATCCAACGATGATTAATGCACAAAATCTTACACATCATGCAACTCTATGCCAATATTCCAACTTTCTCCCATGCAGCAGACATGATGACCTAAATGGAAACCTAACTACGTTTTTTAAACAATTGTTTCCAATAGCATGTATAAGTATATGTTGTTTAGGGGTAACCTGTCCTAGCGCTTCCTCCTACACAATATTCACGTGCCCGTTACAGTGAAAGGACTTTTACAAATAAGACGTTTCTTATAAAAAAATTAAGTCACCTTAATTCCACAGTTTCTGTCTTTAGAAAAGAAGCCACAACGATAGTTTAACATGACACACAAAATGGAATTAAGAGAAATCTACACTGGAGGATAATTTTATCCCTTTCTGTTAACTTCCACTTGGGATAACAAAACAACTCAATTCCTACAGACTGGGGTTAGCACAAGAACTTTACCAGAAACTACAAATCTATAAAAATTTATTATTTCATTGTGTTTAAAACCACAAGAACACTGTTTGCTTGAGCCTGAGACACCAACTCTCAGTTCCAACCCTGAATTTTGAGTTATTTTTTAAAGACATAGCTTTAAAGACCCATTGGAGTTCTGAAATCAAAAAGTTGCACTATTCCAAATTAAAGGATACATTTTTTTATCAAGCCTTAGATATAAAACGGTAAGCCAAGGAAACGACAGAGTTTACGTATTTGTTTTTTGTTTGCCCCTATAAAACATACAAGCATTAAAATTTCCTTTGAAAAGCAAAAGTGGTCTTTTTCTGAGTTGGAAAGCAAATTCTTATCAGCAGCGAATGCTGTGAAATGTTTTTGTTTCGTTTTCCACAAAGCATAGGAGAGAGAGAAAGAGAGAAAGAAAAAGTGAGAGAGAGAAAGAGCTGGACATTTCTTGTGGGAGGTGTTCCCGCAGCTGTGCTGCTGCTCTCGGTGCCCCGTGCTGTGCACAGGCACCTCCTCCGTGCCGGGGCTCTCCTTTGGCAAGCAGAAGATCTGATGGTGGTGAGGGGGCTGTGGAGCTCGGCGCTGTCCTGGGCAACGGAAGGTTGGGACAAAGGACCGCGAGTAAGGATTCGACTGCATCCAGAGGTAAGGTTCTGATAGAGAGCACTTGGCTGGCCTCAGCCTGGCTACGTCGACTCGTTTTGGCTCATGGATTTCCCCCCATTTAGCACTCCTGAGACGCTTCTGCTCTTGGTTGGGGTCCCACTGCCAGACCTGGAGAACTCTGTGAGATCGTGGAGGGAAGGCTCTTTGTACATGGCCACTGCAAGGCAAGAGAGAGAAGGTCAGCACTGCTGCTGGGCAGAGCCCAGCCCTGACCCGCCAGAACTGCCAGCCAGCAGTGGGCAACGGGAGCAGAGACAAGAGCCAGGGCAAGGAGAGCCCTTCGTTCCAGCACCGAACCTCTGACATCAAAGCCCTGACATCCTCCTCCATGCACTGCCACTTTACAGGAGGGGAACGCCACTCCTCCCCTCCAGTGAAAGCCACCTGCCCTCTGCACTTACACAGCCTGCAGGACAAAAACCAGCATTTCCTTGGGACAGAGAAGCAGCACTGTCAGTAGTTGTGATTTCACCACGTCACAGAACATCACACTCCTGTTACACAAGGAGCTGGACACGTCAAACATAGGTGCACAGGAATTAAACACTACATAGTATCGGTCCAGATAAATGGAGCAAACCCAAGCAATTACCTTTTAAGGGTTTTGGAAGAAAGTGTGCTGCAGGTTTATTTTTCTTCACGTGGTTTCCTTTCATTATTTCTCCTTCTTTGTTAAGACCCAAATACCAGCCCCGGCCAGACTGTTGCTGTCTGTAGATCATTGAGGAATATGTCACATAGTAGTTTTCAAATACTGATTCTTTGAACTTGCATTCAGGTGTAAAATGTTCCTGTAAGAAAGCAACAGATCAATACGTGCAGGGCCGAATCTCACATCAGTAAATGAAAAAGCATGAAATACCCATTGCTTTCTGAATGGTTGGAGTCATACCTCTCATCCTCAGCTATCACTTACGAAACATGGGTCCTAAAAGGATTAACAAAAGAGTAACACAATGTGAAACCTGTGAAATGGTGCTGTGAGCAGCTCTCAGTAGAATGCAATAAGATCTTTTCGAAGGATGAGTAAGGAATGTGAGGATGTATTGATTGAGGCAGTAATGGGTGTCAGGCAGACACGGGGCTGTGTCAGCCCTGGGAGCAGCTGTGCTGCAGCCCTGCAGGCAGGAAGGGCCCAGGGGTGCTTTGTGCATCACCTGCAGCCCTGAGCGTGAGAGACAAGGGCAGAGCAGCCAGAGCCAAAGAGGAAATGGCTCCCAGTGCCCTGCCAGCCCTGGCTCCCTCAGCCTCTGGGCATTACAGCCTCTGCCCATCTCACCCACTCAAGAATGTGGCAGAGGAAGGGTTTGGTGTGGCCACGCCAAATCTCAGTCCTGTCACTGCACCACGGAGCAGCCAGATGTTTGCTGGCCTCCCCTGCAGGGCAGCCAGCTGCAGGGCAGTGCCCTGGTGCTTACAGTGCCCTACAGAGGCGTGAAAGGAAGGAGGAAAAACTGTGCCGGTATAATGATCGTAATTCTGATTTTAAAATACCACAGGAAATTAAATGTCTCAGGAGCTCAAGATATTCTTATGTAGCTTCTAAAGTATTCTCATGTGAGAAAAGGACGGTATTAGGAAAAAAAGAAACCCACCATTCTGAATTTTCTGCACATCTTTTGCCATTTTGTCTTTAAAAGAGAAACAAAAAAGCTCCCATTCTCTGACTGGCATTTGCTTCAACAAAGAATGTGAAGCAAGCAATTTTTCTTCTTTTTTTTTTTTCCTTTAAGCTAATTGGTTGTTATTTAGTTATTTGACAATTGGTTTCAGTTGCTGTCAAATAGGGCCAGTCATTGCATTTTTGTAAGATTTCTGCATAAAAGCCTTCCCTCACTGTTCCCTGCCCAGCACCAGCCATGGCAACAAAGACTGTTGCAAGGGTATCATCCAATTAGCAGCAAAATGGAAAACTCCAGTGCTCCCACGGGCAGATTATGGCTTGTGTACAGTAATTTGGAGCTGTTTGGGTACAAAAGGCCTGTCGGTACACAGCAGCAGAGGGTCGGACTGCAAACAGAACCCCAACATTTCCTCCGAGCCCCCAGGAGCAGGGTAACCCCAGAAGGAGCAGCCCAGAGTCCCTGGCGGAGGGACAGGAGGGAGGACAGGGAACCTCCCTCACTCCTGGTGTCCCTCAGCTCTCCTGGCAGTGCTGTGCTCCTCTGAGCCTGCAGCCGAGCCCCTGCCCAGACAAAGAGAATTCTTTCTGTGAAACAGCATTTCCATCTCTGCTTGCCTCCAAAGTCCCTGATGATGGCACCTAAATGACAATAAACTGCAGGCTCTCAAGCCCCTCACACATCCACCCTTAACACTGAATGAATGAATAAATAAATAAAAGGGGAAATCCAGCACATAAAAGTGCTGGATTCACCCTAGTCGTGACTCAGGCACACTTAAGTAAGCAGGAAGATGAACTGTCAGGGGCTGCTTCTTGGTTTTGAGCTGATCAGCTAAACTACTGAAAGGTTCCTTCATGAACAAATTCATGAATATGTGAAAAAAAAAGGAAAATAATAATAATTTGGTGTATGATAATATAGTAAAAAGGCCTCATGGCATTTATTATACACTTAGAGTAGCTGTATTTCCAGGCAGCTGCCTAGATGATATCTAAAATAATTCAGGCTGCATTACAGACTGCCAAGCCTGAAAGCTAAAATATCACAAAAGCCAATCTGGAATTCTTCCTGCTCTGTTTCTGCAGAAGACGTATCTGAAGCCAAAACCCCTCCAAATGATCAGCCATCACACCCAGCTACCCTGCAGGACTCATGTTCATTATTCTGTGCTGCATGTGGTTCTGGAGCAGGAATTGAGGCAGAAAGGGGAGGCTGTGTGTGAGGAAGTGTTCGGAGCCCCTCGCTGGCAGGGATGCTCAGGGCACAGCAGCAGGAGGATGTTTGCTCTCTGCCATTTATTGCACTCTGAATTTGCACTCTGAATTTGCACAGCAGGGGCCATCACCAAATTGTTCCAGTCACGAGGCCAGGTCTGGGATTGTTCAAGGTTTCTTTCGCCACAGGTCGAATATCCTGCAGCAGTTTATTAGAACAATCACAGATTTTGTTCAGATGGACTTAGTGCCAGAGGCCTGAGCAAACAGCAAGAAAAGAAAATTTAACTTTGAGAAGTATTTAAGAAAAGTATTGTGTACTTGGGAGACTTGGAAAATGTTCTTATATATTGAGCATGTAATTATATTCCTTGTGATCAATGACTATGTCTGTGTACAGGATTTATCCTTTATTTTCTCCACTTAATGAAAATTGGATTTTTTTCCCTCCATATCCCAATTTCTTTCAGAACTATAATGTAGCCCAGGATTCCATTTTATAATCATGAATTTTTGAAGGAGCCTCGTTAAGGCTCCAGAGTAGTGATTTTCTGCGCCAGCGAGCCTGCCTTTTTTTATTAACAGAGATTGATTTTCTCCATCTTGGCATGCGAAGTGCCAGGGTGCACCCTCTGGCCCATCACCCTGAGATGTGCAGTGCTATCAGCAGCACAGGATGGGAACACTTCAGCTTTCATGGCATCAGCAATTACAGCTTTTAGATCCAGTGTGAGGATCTGGGGGATTTCCTGAGCCCCCAGAAGCCATTTGCTGCAGCAGTGGGAATGACAATTACATTTGTGTCAGACCTGTCACTTTTCCGGGCAGGTTCCAAGCCCCTGGGCTGGTGCTGTGCCCGGGTTTCCCGTTCTGAGCATCCTGGGGATGCCAGCACAGCTCTGCCCTGTGTGCACAGCGGGGTCCTGGGGGCTCTTGGCCAGGGCTGTCACTGTCACTGTCCCCAGCCCTGGCAGCCACCAAAGGCACTTTTCCAGAACAAACTGGGGGTCTGAGGTGCTGGAGCAGCCCAGGGGCAGCATCACTGGCTGCAGGTGGCCCAGAGGGGCTGTGGGGCTGGACTGACTGCTACAGACTGCCAGCTGAGCTGTGGGACAAGTCCCCTGGAGCCACTCCAGGGATGTGCACTTGCCACACAACCACAACCATTAGATCAAAAATGACAAAGAAAACAGACACTGAATTTGCTCAGGAAAACAGCTGAATGACAGGAGTGATAGGGAGGCAAAGCTTTCTGGAGAGTGATCCCAGACAACTCCATAGAATGGATTTTCCTTATTGCTAGTGCAGTAAACAGGAATTTACCAAGTGAAACACAAATGGTCAGTGGCGTGTAAAATTATTTAGTGCAAAGCTTCTGTGAAGAGTACAAAGGAGCCCAAGGAAGAAGCTGGATAACCAGGATCTCCAGAGAAAGATTTCAGGTTGTCACTAGGTATTCTCTGAATCCATGAGGAAAGCACTGAAAAGAGCCTGAGTGGTTCCCTTGGCATCACTCCTTTGCACAGAAAACCAAATGCACAAATTCAGGTGAAGCAAAGTAGAAAACATATTAATTACAAACACAGAGATGCAGAGGTGTGAATTTTGTTCATTACTCTTTTTCTGCCCTTATCAGTGACTCAGCTGAGCAAATGTCTCCATCTCTGCCCAGGTTTTTAAGTGGCCTTTAGGCCCCTCAATAACCCATAAATGAGAACTGGGTGCATCACCTCAGCCAGGATGTGCTGCCTGATGGCCCAAGGGAAACGGCTCAGAGACTGCAAACAAGGCTGGGATTTAACTGAGCAGGAACTATGCACAATCATTATTGTTCCCCTGCCTTTTGGTGATGCTTCACTTCACACCTGTGCTGATCAACCAAAGCATTCCTTATCTGGGGCAGGAAAACTAAGGCATGATACATGCAGAAGGAAGGCACTCTCCTGATTACTGCAGAGGAAATTAATCCTGCTGGAAAAAAACTGTAATGGGGCTTAAAACTTCTGCAAGATGCCCAGGAGTCCACTTCAGAGGTGTCAAACATAGGTCCCTGTCCTAATCCATCCCAGTGAGTTTTGACATAGAATTTACTTGCTGTGAAGAAGGACAGAAGATCCACGTTACCCCAGATTCTTCTTTTCTGCATCACGTTTACTTCTGATGATGCTGGAATCATTGTAGAGGGAAACCTCTGCCACTACCTAAATGACCAAGCCTCATTTCAATACTTTCTAATGCTTGCCTAATTTTTAATGCCTCTTTTGGTTTCTGCAGCTTTAGGAGGAGCACTCGGGTCACCCAAAGCAGCACGGGCAGCTGCAGCAGCTCCCTCTGTGTGCAGGTATCAGTGTGCAGCAAACACCCCAAGCCCTGCAGCCCGAGCATCATTCCAGCAGCCCTGGGGCTGTGCCAGCTGCTGCATCCTGCTCCCACTGAAAACTCCCAGGGAACTCCCAGAGAACTCCCAGAGAACTCCCTTTTCCTCTCAGCCAGCAGGCTCTCTGTTTCCCCAGAGCAGCCAGTCCTTTTCAGAGTTTTCCTAAGCTCATTATCCCTGTTCCCTGCCACAGAGGCCTCCACAGGTGAATCCAGCACTGTGGAAAACACATCTACAATGTGTCTGCTGTTGTTTTTTATCATAACCACACTTCTTGGTTTTGTTTTTTTTTTTTTTTTTTTACAGCTTTCTACTCTCAGCTTTTAATTTTGGAAAACAGCACATAAAAGTACTCAGCGCGCCTCTTCTGTGCCATTCATTACCCCACATCTCTCCATCCTGCCTCTCCCTATTCATCTCTTGTCTTAACTAAGCAGGCCTAATCTTTTTAAATCTCTTCTCATATGAAAGCTTCTCAGTGCCTTTAATCATTTTCAGTACCCTTCACTGAATTCTTTCTTTTTTTCCCCTCTATCATTTCCAGAACTGAAACACAACATTTAAGATGAGGTTGC